TCCTGCCGGGGTATGTTTGTTCTGTGTAGATTTGCATTTCGTGTAACTTCTGCTTTACTGTTATGGGTTTGTTTGTTTGTTTTTTAACCCTGCTCTGTCACCCAGAAAATATTGTTAGGCTGAAACTGTAGTCACCTGGCTAGAGCTCTTTGGGTGCTGCCCTGCTCAGTTGTTGCTCTAGATCACCATTTGCTTCAGTTGCAGCAGATTTGGGATGCTGTGTTCTCTGTTTGCCTTTCAGTCACTGGTCTTTAAAGGAAGTGTGTTACATGTTGTAAAATGAAGGCAGTATCCTGTAGGAGCTTTGGAGAAACTTGTCGAATTGACATTCTCCATACAAGACCACTAGAACAAAATAACATGTGATATTCTACCCTTAATGTAAAACAGTTTTCTAACTCGCTGCTATGTGCTCTGTAATGAAATAATGAATAACAGTACTGTTTCTACAGTAAGACATTGAGGAAGCCACTTGTAGGTTGAATTAAAAAAATTAGTATCAAATTATGCTTACAAGTGAATTGATGAACCTAAGTTCGTCACGTGGTAAGAACTGGTGATTGATGAATTGCGGATTATATCCATTTCTGCATTGATGAAGCTTTAAGGAACATAAGATGTAAGGAATACATCAGATGTTGCTGGTTCTTCTTCATGAAGTCACTGATGAGACAAGCTTGTATTCAGTTGTCCTCAGGTGACACTTGATTCCTTTTCTGCAGAGTACTGCAAAGTGGATTTTAGACTTTCTTCTGATCTGCAAGTCGTGGCCGCTTGCTGTCGCTAGCATGGGGGTAGGGCGGCGGGATATGTGAGAATAGTACCAGCAATATGCAGTGCATGGCCACACCGGACACACCTGATTTCTGCAAGATTTTCAGTCCCACCTTAGATACTGTGAGTCTGTGTATGAAACGTCGGGGGCACTTCAACAGACATCATCCAATGTTTTGCCTTTTGAACAATGCAATTGTGTGGAACTTGGAACTGAAAGTTCATTCTGTAGCAAAGAAAGCCTGTGAATTAATCCTGGGACGTGCATCATTTAACATGTTAGCTAAAGGCATAGAAGATCTGAATGTATAATTATTACAGAAATTGTGAACATCTCTGAAATTTGCCTCTTCGTGTTGTATTGCTTAATCTTTGCAGTATCCTTGTTGGCTGAAAAGGAGGATGTCATGTTCCTTCATGTGATCAAATCCCTGCTATTTGGAAACGTTCCACTTGAGGGCCAAGAAAGCTATTCATCTCATGGGCTGCACAGATGATGTGTAGTCTTTTTTTTTTTTTTATATATAAAAAGCTTACATTAGTAAGGGGGGAAGGGAATTGCCAGACTGTCTTGGCAGCAGGCCTTGAGTTAGATCATTGTCCCCAGAGACGCAGGGGTCTTAGCCTTTTTGAAGTAAGTTCGTTACTAGAAGTGGGGAGTAGGGAAGGACCTGCTTTCGTACATGCATTATAAACTTCTCAACTCTGGGCAAGGATGAGATGAAGCCAATGAATGAGAGATTATATACACAAGGGTGTGACCTGTTTTATAACAAAAACTGCTCCTGACCCAGTTCATGTCTGGAGTTGGCTGCATTGAACATTTCTGGAGGGGAGCTGCTTTTAACATTTTTGCTTTAATAAAGTCTGCATATACTTTTTGTTTTTTAGGTTATCTTAAGAGTCAGGCATGTATGGATAAATTTAGTCTTACTCTTAGGAAGCAAATGTTTAGAACCAGAAGTTCCTAACCTATGAGTTTAAGAATTACTTAAAGTAATATCAGGAAAAGTAGTTCTTTTTTGTGGGTACTGTGTGATGAACCAGGCAGGAGGCTGATCTAGGCTGAAACACATTTTTACAAAGTTGCTTTTGAGATCAGCTTGCTTCTCCCACTTGCTGCCTGCTGCACGGGTGCTGCAAATAGGATGACGTGAACAAAGGCTCAGGTGCTCAAATCGCACTTTCCTTCTCTTCTCCTTCCTTGGATTCTGAAATCCGCAGGTTTTTTACTAGTCTATTACTGAGGGAAAACAATGCAAACGTAGCTAATGAAAGGCTTTAGATCACGTGTATGCTCTTCAGAGTGTTTCATGGGTTAATGAAAACCTCATCAAACATTCTCATATCTCTTCTGAAAATTACAATTTAAGTTGCAAGTTACTCTCTCCCCAGTAGGTGACACTGGTAAAATAAAATGGGGGTGGAAATGTACTGTATCGATTATATCAAAATAATCTTAAACATTTACTGCCTAAGCCTTAAATTTAGGAAGGTTTTCTTTTAATCCTGAATCACCATAGTTTCTGCTGCACTGTCCATCAAACCCAAGGTATGGGTGGTAATGCATGTCAGCTGCTTTCAGCTACTGTTTGTAGTCAGTACAGTTATGTAAGGAGATTTATTTTCTGCTTCTAAATATGGATAATGACCATTTATACAACTTTCCAAAGAGACAGCAACCCAGGAACAAAAATACTGTGTTGCTAGCAACAGATCTTGATCATCAGACTGTGTTGTCAGAGAAAAACCTGGTACACTTTGCAATCTGTGCTAGTGGTAATGCATTAAGTTCCTTTAAAAAGAAAATGAACCACAAGCTATTGTAATCTAGGATGGGAATTTGGAGAGAGAGAAAAGGTGGATGGATTTTGTTATGCCTGTGCCTGCTGTGGGACACAGGAGCTGACTTCAGGCATTGCCTCCCACAAGTGGTGAAAGCAAAATCCCTCTGTGTTGGAATTTCCCAGAAGTAAAACTGACACATCCCTATAAAGCTTCTTGTCACTGGGAGATATTTAAAAATGCTAAACTTAGTCTTAGTCCAAACATGTAACAAGATACATTTGTATGCAGTAGGAGGAAGAAAAAATCTTAGGCTTCTGCCCAGCTGGTCTGATTTTGGTGCATGGTGGATTGTCATCGTGTAATTGGGATGAGCTAGTATGATTTGTGTAAATGTTTTTTAGCTATGAATATGGAAGAGGGTGGGTTCCTGAATTAGCACCGAGTCTTCATAGGAAGATTATCGACACCATTGCCTACCCGAGGAAATAATGAAAGGAAGCTGGAACCCCTGTCCCACAGCTCTGTCTGCTGGTAGCTCAGGCAACTTGGGAAGTTTGAAAAACTTTGAATAACTGTTAACATTAGATTGACAGTTTTCTAGTTGTGAATTACTTCTATCAAATGCATCAGTTGTGTTCTCTCATACAGTACCGGAGCTTTTATTTACCATGATAATTTGTCCTGAACCTAAGCACCCCTTACCTCTCATGGGTTCTTACCTAGTGGTAGACTTCTTTGTTCTGAAAGGCCAATTCTAAATCATTAAAATCTGAACTGTTTTCAGAGTAACTGTTAGAATAGCTTTCTCATATTCTGATTTCTTACCCTAACTTTTCAGCTGAAGATAGATGCAGGAATTATGCTAACCACACAGGCTATTTATAATGCATGTCTCCTAAAATAACTTTTCCCATTACCCATCTGTAATGACTAAAAAGTTGTTGCAGAATGTGATATTACTACTGCTCCTTTTCCTGTTGATTCTTCTGTGACCTTTCTAAGCATCATTTTAGAAAATAGCGTCATTGGCAGAGAGATCTATTATCTTGGTTTGTGCTGTTCACAAACCATGGTTTTGTCAAGCAGCTCGGGCATCCCCTTTTTTACTTCAAAATTGAGTTAACGTCTGAAATCAGAATTATTGTGTGTGCTATAAAACTGCAGTGAATACTCGGGTCCGTGATTTCAGATGATTCTTTGATATTCTATTTCTCTGACATTCAGATTACAGTTCTGCCTGTGTCCCTTTCTCCCTTGAGAGGGTATCAGTCGCGATACTAAATTTTCCTTACAGGCACTTTTCCTAGGCTGTTTAAAATGTATAATGGAGGCTTATAATTTACTTTCTAATACTTAGGGGAAACAAATAAGATTGGAGTCATGATACAGACTCCTGAAAACTTGGAATAAGTAATGTTATTTTCCTGCTTATGCTCTTTCATAATTTCTGACTTTCAAGAGCAAACAGAAGAAACTCCATTCCTTTATGTTGTCCTTGGTGCTCTTCTCAGGATTTACGTAATACGTATTCCTTAAGTACAAAAAAGTTTAAATATAAGTAGCTATATAATACAAAGTAACATCAGATTTTTCATTTCCTTTACTCCAGGGAAAATATTTATCCCCAAGCAAAAGCCTGTACAGTCTTATACAGAAGAAAAATTCTCTCTGGATCCAGAACTAGAGGAAGCCTTGACCAGTGCCACAGACACAGAATTAGGTGACCTTGCAGGTTAGTTTTTTTGAAGTATGAATGGGCTGTTGCGTATTTAGACAAGAAAGATCTATAATTAATTTGGTAGTGTGTTTGTTACCTGAAGTGTGACTATATGAAGTTGTAGTCGTGATAGAAACTAGGACATCTTATATGCCAGTTTGGTTGTAGTGTATCATCTTTGTTAATTTGTGATAATTTATAGGAGGGTAGATTATTTTGGCCTGCATAAGATATCTGATTTTCAAACGCAAAACCTTTAAGTTCATTCCTCAGACTGGCTGTTTTTTGTTGTGTACACTACCGCTTTTGCTTGTGTATAAGAATGTGTTGCTATGTGCCTGTATTCTTAAAGATTCAGTCAAGAATTTTGTGACTGAACTGCACTTTTAACTTTGATGCTTGAACCTGGTGAGGTCAAAGCTTTCTAAGATGTGAAAGCCAACTAAAAAGTCTATAATGAAATTTTTTTCTACTTTTCTTTACATTATTAAGAGATAAAATGGCTTATTGTACTGATAACTGGGTGTTTTACAAACATCAGTTCTTTTTATTTAAAGGAACTCTGCATCTGAGCTGAATTATTCCAGAATAGCAGAATTGGGGTTTTTGCTTTTTCTTCTTTTACAGCTATACTGGGAATGTCCAACTTGATAACAAACAATCAGTTCTGTGATGTAGTAGGAGGCAGTAATGGGATTGACAAAGACAGCTTCTCAAGTAAGTGTGTACGCGAGTGCTAGATAAATGAGTTCTTTGTACCGCACACAGTTACTATAGCATTAACTATTTTCTGTTGCACTAGCATTCTTTATAGACTATTCAGTCTTGAATTGGAAATGTGCATGTCTATAACATTGCTAATTGAGTTCTGGCAAGAGTGGAATTAAAATATATCTATGTACACTGAAATCTATTCTGCAGTTAATTCGCTTTGGGGGGGATAAAAGTAGGCATAAACATGCCTCTGTGTGTTGGTTTTTAGGTTTCATGTTTGTGTTTGTAATGCAATTCCTATGTGCTTTCTGAAAAAAGTTGGTGTGCAAGAAAAGCAGAAAGGCTGTGAGGACCTTTGGAAAAGAATTAAAATTTATGAAAATATGGTCAGGAGAGGATGGTATGCTTTTTGGATGGGGGAGAGATGTAAGAACGGATGAAATGATCTTTAAATACAGTAAATATTTAGTATGTGTATCGCTTATTCACAGTGAATGTATGTGACCTGTTTGGTTACAATTAAATGCCTTTTCAGATATAGTGAAAGGTGAAAAAATGTTGCCTGTTTTTGATGAACCACCAAATCCCACAAATGTGGAGGAGACGCTGCAAAGGATTAAAGATAATGATTCCCGTCTTGTTGAAGTTAATCTAAATAACATTAAGGTAATTACCTGAAGTCTGCAGTAAATATGCTGCTTTTTCTCAGTAGAAGACACTTTAAGTTGTAAAACTCTACAAGAGAGCGTGATAGGCTTATTTTAAGTACAGCAGCCTTTCTGCTGAATGTTGCAGTGTGTGTAATCTCAGAAACCTGGAGCTAAACCAATAAGCCATCTTGTTTTCTTTTGCCAAATATGTATTTAAAAAGTCTTAGATTTTCTTACTGCCAGGCCAGATTTCTGTTGCTGCCAAGTTGGTGGCACTTTCAGCAGATCCTCATCGTGGAGTTAACTCCTGCTTTGAATCCTTTGTCCTTGATGAAGCAGTGTGCTCTCAGTTACTGCAAACAAAGTGATATTTGTACCTGACATCCTTCTGATTCTTGTACAGAAGAGCTGTCGGCAATTAGGGCAGCTTCTGCTCATAAGTGCAACGGTTGTGTTTTTAAACATGACTAAAACTTTTGTATATTTGCATGAAAGAAAACAGAACTATAGCACTCCTGACTTACAGTGCAGACAGCAGTGCCAGCCTGCTAGCTACAGCCTTGCTAGCAGCCTAGGCTATTTGTTGCCCTTACTAAAGGAAGAAAATAAAATACATGGTTTAAGAATATTGTACAATAGAGAAATACTAGCCAAAATAAATGCCTAAAAAGGCAACAGTACAAAATTTCTGATATAATAGACTAAGAAATTTGCTACCCTAATTCATTATTCCTTTTAAGCTTTGTTGCTACTACATGGTAAAAATTGTCAAACTATAAATTGGCAAATTCTATTCTTAATAGAACACAGAATGAAATGCTAATGGTCTCACCAGTTTAAAGCTCTAAATCGTTTTATATTTGTGAGAGATTAATTTGATGCTGATAGTTAGCAGAATGTTCAGTTCATGTAAATTTTGCTCAGTAACAGTTCCAAGTCAGCTAAGTATTTTTTAACACTTCTATTGTGGCAATGGCATCAATGTAGTAAAGATGACTTTGCTTTCTAGAATTGGTGACTCTAATAGCCATTGCATCTTACATATTGCTTTGCTACACATGTAGGCCTTCACTGGTCTCCAGCAGTCTGAAAGTAATAGTTAATATTATAGTACATTTTGCTGTAAAAAGAATAAGATAATGGAAGATGTTGGGGGGGAGGGGATAAACTTGTGTATCTCAAGAGAGTGAAATGCTATTTTTAATTCAAGAACATACCAATTCCAACGCTGAAAGAATTTGCAAAAGCCTTAGAAACCAACACGCATGTGAAGAATTTTAGCCTTGCAGCCACCCGAAGCAATGATCCTGTTGCTGTTGTAAGTACTCTTGCTAATGTGCTGAAGTGGGGTGCAAGGGAAGTTAGGATGGAAAGGCAATGGTAAGGGATTGAACTGAATCCTGTTTAAATATTTAGGAATGAAAATGATTAAATTCTGTTACACTGTAAAGTATGTTTTCTTTAACAAACCTTTGTTGTATCAAAGTTGGTAAATGATTACTAGTTGACTAATACGCAGCAATGCATCAGATGTATGAGTACGAATTCTTTTTTTCCAGTCCCTTCCCCCAATTTTTCATGTTGCTAACCTCCTTCCCATTTTTCTTTCTTTCCTAATTCTTTAGTTCCTGATATTCATTCCACAAGCCAATAGTATATTCAAAATCAGCTTTAAAAGAAGTACATCTGAGGACTGAAAAAGCTCATAATCTTTTTCAACTAACTAGAGTTTTAGTTGAAGAAAGTTGTAAAATACCTGTTTCTCTGATCTCCCTGCTACCAAAGCTTAGCTTAAAGTGTTGGCATATAAAGCATAATATTAGTCAAGGTGTCTAGTTTGACACAACTGAAACTTAGGTATTTATCATCTGGTCCTGTTTTTCCTATGTTGAATCAAAAGCAGTACCTTATTTATTTGCAAAGAACGAGGTTAGAAAACAGCAATAACGGTTTTGGCAGGCAATCCTTTGCATTTGTTTTAATTTCAAATTACAAAGAAAACTAGTTTGAAAAACTCCATTAAATGAACAAATGAACATTTGAAAGCTTTGTTTTGAGTCAATTAACAAGTTCCTTTTCAGTAGAACTGAAACATTTGTAATAAAAAAATCTATAAAGGCTTGTTTTCTCAGGTGTGGTTTTGTTGGGGTTTTTTGCATTGTGACTTGAAACAAAAAAATGTAAAGGTTATGATTTTTATTATAGTAAACCCCAGCAGTTACCTATTCTTGTTTTCTTATTTTCTCAGAAATAAGATCAGGTATATGCCATTTCCGTAAGAGTGCTTTTAGCTACATGCTGGTACTGTGCTTACAGCTTTGAATTTTACCTCTTCCTACCAAATCTGTAGACACAAGCATTTTGAAAGTCAGATCTCCTGTTTACAAATTAACCATATCTAATTCTCCTTTCAGTTGACTAATGCCCTTTCTTTGGCCTTTACTTAGTAGCTTGCATTACTCATTGTATGCCGTGAGGTCTTACAAAATGGAATTGGTCCAATATGCTAATTTCAGACAATTTATATTCCGTGTAGCTTTTTAGTTTGTAACAAGAGAAAGACAGGCCCTTTCTTGACTAAATACTATTAAAAAAGGGAATGTAGATAATGCCTCGTTGAAGACTCACTTCAGTCTCAAATAGTAAGTGAAAACTTGCAAAGTTACACCATGCATCTGTGAACTTGTTGCTCCTACTGAACTAGTTAGTGGAAATGGTTATCGCTGTGTCCTATGATGTACTGTAGCAAAATTCAAAAGTTTAATGATGCTTTCTTGCGTTCAAAGGCTCTTGCAGATATGCTGAGAGTAAACACAAAATTAAAAAGTTTAAACATAGAATCAAACTTCATCACTGGAGTTGGAATTTTGGCACTGGTCGATGCACTGAAAGACAATGAAACATTGACAGAGATCAAAATTGATAATCAGGTAAGTGAGGTGGTGGTAAGATCATAATTAAAATCAGTCTGTCCTAGTTGACTGAGTATTTTTAGAAGGTAGCTTGTGATAAACTTTCCAAAATATTTTACTTTTAAATATATTAACCCCTTGAATGATTGTTCTTAAGAGTCTCAGAAGCATCCAGTTGAAGCTGATTCCTAGTCACTTCTGTGCTTGCTTGTGCTTTAAAGTGTACAAACGTATTTTATGACCTTCCGCCTTTTAGATTAATCAAAATGAAGCTAAGTGTTATTGACTAATATCATGAAAGTATTCTGATCTCTTTTAGGGTGAATACGCATAAGCTCTGTTGTCTTTGTGTACCTTTTATTTTGACAGAGGCAGCAGCTGGGCACAGTTGCAGAAGTAGAAATTGCCAAGATGCTTGAAGAAAACACCAAGATCCTAAAATTTGGATACCATTTCACACAACAGGGACCTCGAGCCAGGGCAGCTGCAGCTATCACAAAAAATAATGATTTGGGTAAGACCTGTCAGTAGAGAGTGACTATTAAATGAATGTGTGTGTGGCACAGGTTTTACAGGTGTCTGGTTTTTCTGCTTTTCTGTTGACATAATGAGGATAGCAAAATATGAGTAGATCAGTTTCAGATTTCTCCTGTGCTTTACTCCTACTCTTCCGTTGCTGCTTGATGTTCTCCTTTTATTTTGGTGTATGAGTTGAGGATTTTTAGCATAGTCTAGAACAAGAACATTCAAATTCCGCATGACTTGTGGCAAAGGGAGGGAAAATAATAGTTTTGATCAGTTTTATTCAGATAAGATTCATCGTTTCTTTAAAAGCAATACTTGAAATTAATAGTGCAGGATGCTCTCTTCAGTGCCAGTACACCCAGTCTCATATGGGTTGCTTGAGCAAGGAAACGGAACGTGCTGTCATGTGCAGAGGCTGGGACTGGGTCGTCTCTTCCCTTATGGTTCTGTTCGTGCACAGGTACCTTCCCTGCCTCTCTTAAAGGCAGCTGGTAGCAGTGGCATCTTTTTTTTGCTGCAGTAAGTTTTGTTGGAGCTCATCTGTTAGAATCCTAACTAAATGGACGAGCAGAAAATTGGCTAATAATGAGCATGTGAGTGGAAATTGTTTGTATAATAATGTCAAATACTTGAAGCTCTCAACAAGATAATGTGGTCCATCTATTTAAATAGAATTACATTTTAAAACTCCATTTAATTAACTTTCTCGGCTTTAGATGCTTTGTGGTAAGGATTACACATCTCATCACTGTGAAAACAGGCGAGGCAGTTTAGTAGTAGTAGTTCAGGAATACATTAGAGGGAATGACATAGGGAAACTGGAATTTGGTTTAAAGATCTGCTTCCCCTCTAAGTAAAGTTTAAAGTGGAGGAGAACATCTCAAAGAGATGGAGGAGGAGTAACAGAATAGAGCACAGACAGAGAAGAAAGGCACTCAGACACTGCATAACTGTTTCTCAAAATAGATTCTAAATCAGTTATTTTTTTGTCATAATGCTTCAGGTGTCTCTACTTTCTTTTAAGGTTTCTCTTTTCACCAGTTCTCATTTTAGTGTTTCACTGTTGGAAATCTATGTTTCTATTGATATCTTGCCTTTTTTTTCTTTGCTTTCTTAGTCTGGAGTATGCGAGTAAAAGTTTCTGCAAATACCTTTTCATCTCTCCAGCCCTGAAGCTACAGAGACAGGTTACCCTGAATACCCAGTTGGGTATTGAGCACTGAAAACTGAGGTGTTCGAAGTCTCTCATTTCTGTCTTTGTACATTTCTTCTAAAAAAAGAGTCTACATCTTCTTTCTCCCTTGTTTACACTGTGTTGTACTACTTCCCTTTTCTTTGTCTGAAACTGTGTACATGTTGCTTTTCACTGCATGCTTGGAGAAGTCTAAGGTTGAAAACTTCCATCTGTTCTTGCAATTGGATGAAAGCAGGTATGCATTACTTCTGTCACTGATGAAAACTGTTTGGATTCAAATAGAGATAAGTCTATGAGTTACTCTCAAAGTGAGCAACAGATTGGCTTTGTGAAGAGTAACATTCTAGCATGATCCTATTCTGATTCTTTCTTTAGACTGTATTTAAAGCATTTCTTGAGACAGGAAGAGGGAGGGGAAACAAAACAGCTTTCCCTTTGTTATTTTGATCTGAAGGTAAAGAAAATCAACTCAAATTGCAAAACTACATAATTTCCAGTGAGTGGATTTGAGAACAGAATCACTTCCTTCTTATATAGATGTGCGTGCTCCACTTTTTTTAAACAAAATGGAGATGCCCTATATAATTTCTAAGACCCTTAGCCTCATTTGTTATGTCTGCGCAGAAAAGGAAAACACAAATTGATAAGGGAAAAAGAAAATATAAATTAAAAGTACTACAAATATTGAGCAAAACTCCAGTCACTCAGTCAATCTTGCATATTCTAAGTCTAAACAGCACCTGAGCTTTTAGTGATTTTATTCACAAATTTTTGATGCTCTTGCATTTTCTGACAACTGAATATTTTTTTATTAACAAGTGGAATATTTTAGGCTATTGAATGTCAGATCTTTTTTTTTGCAAAGTGGATAAATCATATTAGATATACTGTGAAACTTTTATACTGTTTCTTTTGAAGCCATGTAAACTTAATTCTCCACGACTAGAAAACTGCAATGTAAAAAAAGAGTACTGGCTAAATCTGCTTACCAAACATAAAACGATTAATGTTTCCCACAAGTCTCTCCTCACAAGTATTTGAAGCTGTTCATGAATAATGCAATAAGCACTGCTAAAGCATAAACTTAAAATGATGGATAATACTAAGTGTTAGTTACCTTAAGTTGTACTACGTGAAACTTTATGTGGCAAAGTAACCGTTGATGTTGTAGAAATACAAAAAGTAGTTACAACGATAAAGTAGTAAAAACATTTTTTTTTTCTTTCTTGTTACAGTGCGCAAGAGAAGGGTTGAAGGAGACAACTAGCAGATCTTGTTGTGAAAACTGCGGTGATTTCAAGGGTCGTCAAGGCACATGCATCAGCGTGGGCTTTGGCAGTCTTGGACTACATTTACCTGGGTTAGAAGGGAAAAGACTGGAAACCCTATTCCTTTTAAAGCAAAGCTATATTAATAATCTGCTGGTATGCATCATGTTTTTCAGATTGAGACACAGTAACTGCACCAGTCTCTGTATCATAGTTTTTGATTGTTTTTTTAAGAATCTTTTTGTATTTCAAGACTTTGGCTGTGCTTTCTACTACAAATGTAATTGCAAATCAATGGTATAACTGTCTGTAGTCAAAGAATGGGACATTCAAGATCATGGGGCAGATAATGACCCAATTGAAATGTTTGTTAGAAAATGTGGGGGTGCTTATTTACGTGGAGGGGTGCGTATATTCTTGAAAACAATGTGTTAGTGATAAAGGATTCTTCACACAACAGTTGGACTCATTGTGTAGAGCTGTTCAGCCTTGTTCATATGCACTGAAGAGAAATCTTTCACAGCTATCTTATTTGTAATTCTACTTTTTTATTTTTTATTAGTTCTTGATACTGTGATTAAGTTTAAAGACATCCCTTTAAACCAAACACAAATAAATTGGCTAAGGACTTCTCCCAAGAGATTTGAGGGACTAATAAAAAAAGTGGAAGCCTTGCCAAAAAAAAGAAAAGTATAAGCCTTGCAAAATGACAGTTTTTCTATTACACCTAAATCCTTGAAGTCTTTTTCAAAAGGTCCCGTAACTGTATCTTGCTCTGTATCTAAACTGGATATGTGTTTAGATCAATTTCATGTGTTCATCAGCATTATTTAGTTTATATTCTTTGTTTAAAAATCCTTATCTACATTCATAAGTATTGATTTCTCTAGAAGTAGTGGCCATGCATTTGTTAAATTCTGCATAATTCTGTACTGGAAAAGCAGCCTTAACTGTAAAACCGCTGTCCTAAGTTGTTGGCAAATGGAAAAATCCTTTTTTTCAAGCTGTTGTATTAAGCTATTAGTAATTCATATAAATCTATCACTTTCTAATAAAGCAATGAAGTAACACTTTTAAGAAAGGATTTTTCTATTCTACTTATGTCTTGGTGTTGAAACACTACATAAGACATGCAGAAATTAACCAATATGCAGTGTCAAATCTGTATGGTATAATGATTATTAAAGTATTTAAAGTTCCGTAAGCAAACTAATAAGGCAACAAGAATCACTTCAACTTCTGTACATAATCACAGTAGACTTCGTTAAAATCATATGAAAATCCAGAGGCTTTTTGGTGTAGGTCTGTTTGGACTGTACTGTACTAGTTTGCTCAATGTTGTCATGAGATCATAAACTCAGAAAAATGTTCTAAGGGACCGCTCAGCTATATTTATAGCAACAGAGAATTCAACTGACAACTGTTTTCATCAAAGGATCATACTATGGTGAGCATTTTAGGTATAGAAAACATATTGGACTGAGATTTTTGCATCAGGTTGTATATACTATAAAAATTTAACAGAGCAACTCTCTGACACTCTGCCCATGTTGTAATTTGCTGCAAATCTTGTTTTGGATCTTTAAAGACAGACTTTATTCCGGAGGTGACTTTGAATTTTACTGCAACTGTACAGAGAATTTTAAACTCTAGTGCCTTCAATGAGGATGTATATAACTGGTTTATACTTGTGGAAGAACATTTTTTTCCTATTTCAAAATCAGCCTTTTATTATAATTACAAATAAATGTGTGCTCTGAAAAGCAAGATGGAATTAATTCTGTTAAAACCAAAGACTATACATACTGTAACTTCGAAACAACTACAAGCGATCTGACTAGTAATAAAAAGGGCTTCTTTTGGTTTTGGCTTTTGTAAATTTTCAAGAACTTCTTAGGTTTTGAAACTGAAGTTCTTACACAGTATGCATAGTCACGAGTTAAGTGTCTTTTTACAGACAATGCTGTATAAACATGGCCAAAGCATGTCATGTGCTGAGTTGCCTAAAGCTGTACTTTACTCTTTATTCGCTAGGCACCATAATAATTTTGTGTCAAAAAAACAGGCTGTAATGTCTTCCTTCATTTGTTGAAGGGCTGCATGTTCATGGAATCTGTTCACGTATTGTGATTCTATGATGATTTATTTTATCATTATCTAACAAGATTAGGCAGTTATCTCCTACTTGAAGATGAAGGAGAAAAATGAAAGGCTGGATTATGGAAATGATAGCCCAAATCCCTTCCTTACTTTATTAAATCAAGTTTAGCTGCTTAATGATTTATGTTCCAATCGAAGGCAGGGCCTTTTAAGTTGCAACTCTCAGGTGTCCTGTCACAGGTGGTAGTAGTGGACCTTACTAATTGGTTTAGCTCTGTAGACAGCAGCTAAGTATTTGACTGCTTGTTGGCACTTTCAGGACAGGTATCTGACAGGCTGGGCATAGAAAACTAGGGATTTTATTTTTTTTTTTCAACCAAAAGGGTTTGGCCCTCCGAACTGCTGCAAGACATTTGAAAAGGTGCATGGAACAGGTACAGCAATCACTTTTGTGCCTACAATGTGTATCGTTTTTGGAATAAATGAAGGAATTCAGTCTGTAGCCAGGAATCATAAACAGCCTCAACAAGCAAAGTGAACACTCTGATGTAATGCTATCAAGTGTAGTGAGATCTCTTGTATGACTTCATTATTTTTGAGTGCAAAAGTGGTATTACTTTGATAGCCAGCTACCGTAAACACAAGGTCTTTTTTCCAAAAAAGGTGATACTTTTTTCTTCTTGATTATTTTTCAGGCTTAATGCAGAAGTCAAATGACCACATATGTTGATTCTGTTGGTTCCAAGCTAAGCACGGAAACATAGCCTATATTCCAAAGCAATTATCTATTTACTGTTGTATTTTAAAGAAATAGCCTCATTCTCTCTACAGCTTGAGTAATACTGTTTGTATGCGACAAACGAGCAAGTGTTCAATTTAAATTTCCATTGAGGAAACATGAATTGAGTGTTTTAGCGTATCAGCACTATATGCTGTCAAGGTTGTAAACCAGTAAAAGTTGTTGATGATTAAAGTACTGTGTTCCTGTTGTGGCTTTGGGCGTGGGTTTGTTCGTTTGGTTGACTTGTTTGTTGTTTTAAATAGTTGAGGCTGAAGTTGAGCCATGCGTTTATGTGAAACCATTACTCTTCCAGGAGGACAGTGAGCGACCAAAGGGCACTTCTGGAAGTAAAGGGCTGCTGATGCGGACTCGATTTTTCACACAGCAGGCAGCAGAAAGATGCGTAAGAGCCCATAAAAGGAGAGCGAGCGTATTGCCATGCCTGTTCAGTCCCCCCAAGCAAGTAAAGCAGAAGCGGGTGGGAGGGCGGGCTGCTTCGTGCAGCATCATTTCAGCCACAGGGGAAGGTGCAGAGGTAAAGACAAACACGTCACGATCCCGTTCTTGGACTCGGGGGATAGGAGTCTTCTGCCTGCCTCCGCTGAGCCTGCCGGGTCTGACCTGCAGAAGCACGGGTGGGCCGCCCTCATCTCCCGTCAGCCTGGACGGCAAAGGGGCAGGAGCCAGGTCTAGTAACAGCGCGGCTGTAAGCACGGAACCGATGGAGAACTTGGATCTGAACGAGAGGCCGGCGGAGCAGGGCGACCTGTGCTCGACAAGCGCTAGCAGCAGGAACTTCACGGGAGAGCGCGAGGGAGCAGTGCCGCGTCTGGCCGGTCAGCGGGCGGGGCCGGTGCCTGCAGGCAGCGCACCCCCGGCGCTCGCCTGTCGTTCTGCCCCCCGCCCCGCCCCCGCCCTC